ATGATATGGTCATTACGCACATGCATTCAACAAAGTTAACTATAATTTAACTTAATTTAGTCTGAATGCGAATGGTTTTGCTATGCATTCAATAATTAACACAATTGCTATACAATATGCTAATATAATACATGTATTATTTTCATATATAAATATATACACCTGTAACAGGTGGTGAAAAGTCAAGTCTCAACCAAGACTCGAACCCAGGGCCTCTGGCGTACAGTGCCAGCACTCTAACCCACTGAGCTATTGAGACCCGATATATTGACTGACTTTCACACACCTGTTGACCCGGTGATACAACTGTACATCTGCAACAAATATTTCCCTCTATTCTAGAATTTTCTGACCTGTTTGCATGTATCATATTAATTTTTATAATCTTTGAGAAGCTATCAGTGCAGTATAATGGAGTACCATCTGCTTATTACTAGCAAATACCTGTAAGTATAAAATACACATGTACAATATTTACTAAATATTTTAAAACATAGGCCTAAAATAAATATTTGTTTGTTGTCAGTTGCCTACCGTCCAATATAAAATGTATCCGACCCAATTTATCTTTTCTAGCCATTTGTAATATTTTTTCTCAATATTTTAGGACATTAAAACTATTTTATTTTTGACTTCGTTTAATTGTTGTTTACCAAACAGCTGTGATTTTGACAAGAGATGGAGAGTGGAGCTTATTCATATTTAGTGGGAGGACAGACTATGAAAAGTTCTATAATTTTAATTGTTATCCAACAAAAATCTGAAAACATTTTTTTTAAAAAAATGCCTGTAATATTACTACCTTCCTACCCAGTCTAAAAATTATAGGTTTACAACTCGCAGCTATTAGTTTGGCCATTATTATTTACTATTTAGTAACCACAATAAAGAATATAGACCTACAGTAGTGAGTAAATTGTACTAGCTGCAGATCTGTAGCGTTATGGTTTTATATATACTTGTCTTTGACCATAACGCTACAGATCCTGTACATAATGCAAAAAAGGTGCAATTTACGGCGCAATATTTTTTGCGTGCTTTTGGGGAGAATTTCTCCACTTTCAAGCATTGGTCAATCAACTACTTTTTGCTCCCTTATTTTAGACATATTCTGTAGCCAATATGTATATTTTATACACCTCCCAACCCTTTTTACTCGTCTCTATAGGTGCTCCCTAATTTTAGACACATTCTGTAGCCAATATGTATATTTTATACACCTCCTAATCCTTTTTACTCGTCTTTACTGGTGATAAACTCGCTTGATTAAAATTGTTATATATTGCTGAAAATTCACTTCTAGCGACTTTATTGCCTGTAGAGACAGCTATAAATGGTTGAAAGGTGGATAAAATATACATATTGGCTACAGAATGTTTCTAGAATTAGGGAGCGAAAGGTAGTTGATTGAACAATGTTTGAAAGTGGAGAAATTCTCCCCCAAAGCGTGCAAAAAATATTGCGCCGTAAATTGCAGGATCTGTAGCGTTATGGTCAAAGACAAATATATAAAACCATAACGCTACAGATCTGCAGCTTAAATTGTACGTGACAACTCATTACTAGTTAGTAACTAGACTTAGACTCAGTGGCGGATTTAAGTTTAGGTGCACCTGGTGCGAGCCCCCTCTAAAATTGTCAAAGTGAGCATAAAACATAGTTTTGTCGAGCAATTGTTTAAAATGTCTACTCGGTAGACCTCATTTTTACCCTACAAAATCTCAAAACCTAGAATACATGAACTTCCGGGGGCTTCGCCCCCAGGACACCCACGAGGGCTTTGCCCTGGACCCACTGGGGGCCTCAAGGCGGCAACCAGACCCCCTGCCTAAACTCTTGCGCCCCCCCCTAACTTCAATTCCTGGATCCGCCCCTGAGACTCCTGTCTTGCCTTCTTGATAGGCCTATTATATAATGTGCTACCAAGATAACTAAGCTTCTTTATATCAGCATATTTTTTTTTTATTTACATACATTACAGGAAAAAAAAACAAGTCAGCGAAAGAACATCGTGTGGCTTGTTCCAGGCTTTTCTTTTGGCTGATTGCGCTCTAATCCTTGAAACAAAGATGAAAATGAATGCTTTTTAACGAGGCCCGATCTACTTGATCTGCGCATACGTTTTAACGCAGCGTCGACTCATGCAGGCACGTCACAATACCCTTGACTGCCGTTGTAACGACGAAAAGTGACCCCCGTAGAATATTGACCAGGGGGTCATTTTTCTACGTAGAAAAATGACCCCGGGTGAATATTCTACGACAAGTAGGGTCATTTTTCGACTGTAGAAAAGCATTCCGGACCAGTTATTCTACGACTCAACACACGTTGAAAAATGACCCCCATAGAATTTTGACCCCTTCCTTTTTTATACAATAAAATCTTATATATGTTTCTCCTGATATTTTTCATACTTTCAAATGCAAGTAGAGGGAAATTCTTTAAGAACTTTAATCCTTTCGAACATATATTTGATTGCATATCTTAATAGTAACATCACTCTCAATATATCTGGTATGAATTTATTTTTGGCCTCCAGAATCCCAATGAAGATTTTTTTCATTGAGGAGCATAAATTTATTATTTTATTTTTTGGGTGTTTTTTATCATTCAAGGTTTTGTTCTGAAAATGGCATGATATGTTTTTGATAACCATAAACTTTGAATTTTTTTTTTACAAATCCAAAAACATAGCATAGGAGCGAGAAAACCAACGTTAATGAACTATATAAATTCAATTCTCTTAGCTCTTACATTTAAACTTACATATACATCTGTATGGAAGAAGGATATGGAGATAACGAACATTATTCAATATCAAAGTCCATAAAACAATACAAAATAGGAGCAGAGGTGGGATCAGGTGCCATGGAGGAGTGAGCAGACCTGTTGAACGGTCACACCCGCCGTGTGATCCTTGTCATGCATGGTCGGTAAATAACGGAAAAAATCCGTCGTCAATTAAATGTAAAAATAATTGACTACCAATCAGCACGAAAAACGTCAGTCAGCATTTGACTCAATGATAACAAAATAAATTTTGTTTTAACAAAATAATTTTGCAAATGACAAATTACCAGGTAAGAGAATTTACGATTTCTATTTTTACTGAAAAAGCAGCTGTCAATGATATAAAAAAGCCTGGACTTTAATTTATCGTGGAGAATGCTTGAGTATAAAGTTGAAAAGTCGTAAGTTTTTAAGCTGTTGATTTAAATAAAATCTTGAAATTGTCCAAAAGATCTTTGATAAAATCTTCAAATTGTCCAAAAGTTCTTTGGAATTTTTGAGTATCCACATCTCATTCACACCACTTCTTGAATATATTGTGGCACAGTACTCTTGAAGTTTTTCCTTCATTCCTGTCAACATCTTAGTGAGATGTAACGAAAGAGGTATGGTTGAAAATTAACTGGAACCCAAAATGTATCTTTGTTTGTAAGGATTCTTATGAAGTTTCCGAATCCAATATACATAGGGTAGTTTAAATTCATTTTGGCTCTTTGAATACTAAAAATATTCAAAACTGACATATGGCTTTGAAGAGTTTCTTCCTCATAAAGGGAAGTATGAGTATAAGTTGGATTACTACTTGTAGAATTAAATCTAAGTTCTGAAATACAATTCGTATAATGAGCCTTACAAATGAAGACAATATTTTTACCTGCTTTGTCGGCAGGGACCAGTACGTACTGATCATGTAATCTATCTAATTCTTTTTTCACTTCTGGATTATTGAATACAGAAGGATAAATGGTTTTCATATTGCCTCTCAATCTTTTAATACGTGACTTGAACATGAATCTGATACAATTAATCGAAAGTGTCAACGTCTTCTTATTCATCTCTTGCCTATTGTCTGGCGTAATTTTCAACAGAATCCATAATATTTATGAAATTCCAACGCCCGATGAAAGAGCAAGGTTATGCATTCTGCTTTAAAATACACGCTTTTTAACTAAGTTATATAAAGTACTAATTTTTTTCATGTAAATACAATAAATACCATACACATTGAGAACGTTCTTACAATGATATTAAAAATTCCTCCAAAACTGACAAAAATTTACACCCACACCCGAGTTAATAACAGTTCAACCTTCAGACATATCTATAAATTAAAAAAAAAAATACTTCCCTTTTCAACACGTTTTAGCCCACAGACACCTGACCAAGGGTTGCTATTACATTCCCTTTCTTTAGAGATTTTATGGACATTACCTTTGCAATTCAATGAATTCTTTTAAAGTCTGTCATGCCATTACTTCGATATAAGCACATACCGTGCAAAATATAATCCTAAAGTAAAAGTGTGGGATTTTTGGGGTAAAAGTGTCTCAAACTCCAAGGTCAAAGTCATACGGTCAAAGTTGGCTGTACACAAAAAATGTCTTGTCATAAAAACAACTGTGAAATATAAAATCCTTAGTCCCACACAATATAAAGATATGGGCAAAATTTATGCGGGCAAATATACAAACAGACAGACGGACAGGTAAAAATTATATACCCCCGAAACTTTGTTTACGGGGGCTAAAGTATAACATTAAAGTTTTCATCATCCAACATTTTTTTTTCTATTGGTAAAAAACTTCTAAAATCATATATTATATGTAAGAACATGTAGATGGGGAACACGATACTACATATGCCAATTTTTGGAAAGACGCGCAGTCCTTTTTTTTTTGTAGTTAATCATGTTTTATGCTACAACCCCCATTTTGTTAAGGTTTTGTTGACACTAGCAAATGACAAAGAACATTTTGCAGGTTTTGAGCTAACCACATTTTGTTTCCCTTGTATCATAGGTCAGAGGTAATTTAATTTCGTACTTATTTTTACAAAAGAAATCATTAATTAAATGAGAAGTTTGAAACTTCATTTATAGAAAAACAAATATTTTTATATCCACAAATTTTCCTGATAATCCGACAAGACAATTTCTGGCTATTCAAAGCTCGTTTTTGCTTAAATTCTTGTATAAATTACTGAAAACACAATTAAGTGAAACTGTCATTTATTCAAATAACAAATGACTAAGAATAAAATCTATAATACATATTACACAAAGTTATAAAACAATTAATTGGCTGGGCTTAAAACAAAATATACAGTTAATCACAAATTGACTAGTTAAACATACAGCTTAGTCACTTGACATATTTTTTTCTAATCACATGACACAAAAACAGCCCAGCCAATAATATAATGGTAAAAAAACACTTAAAAAGCAAAAAGGTGGTGCACAAAAAGATGCACAACAAAAAGGTTCCATATTGTTTACATTTTTTAATACGACAAGTTATACATTGTTAAGAAGTAGATTCATCAAAAATTGGGTGGTGGAGGGGAAGAGGTGGTTGCTGAAAATTTGTGTGACTTCCTCTCCGATAAAAAATGGCTAGAGTGAATTAACCACGTGATACGTATAACTTCATTTGATTGGTCCAAACTATAAAATCTAGCCGTAAATGCATGGGGCACCCGAAAGAAATAAATGGAAAATTACATAAGTTATAAAGATTATAAAATTTTGTATATAAAACAATTTATTGTACCAATAAATGTTTATTTATATCCACAAATTTTCCTGATAATCCGACAAGACAATTTCTGGCTATTCGAAGCTCGTTTTTGCTTAACTTCTTGTATAAATTACTGAAAACACAATTGAGTGAAACGGTCATTTATTCAAATAACAAATGACTAAGAATAAAATCTATAATACATATTACACAAAGTTATAAAACAACTAATTTTCTAAGTAGCGCCCTTTTTCGCGCAAGTTTTAAAAGTTGGGACCAAAAACGTTAGACTTTTGGAAAATAAAGCTTTATTTTGAATTTTTCAAATTATTTATCCAGGGTAAAATTAAAGGAGTTATAATAAATTAATTATGGAAACTTTTTTTCTGACACAAGCTAGAAAATAACCTTTTTATAAGATTAAAATGACAACTGTGAAAACTTACTGTATAAAATGTAATTAACGTTTCTATGAATGCGCGTATCTTTGCTCTAATAGCCTTTAGTAAGAACATTTTTATATTGTTTTCTTTTAATGGGGATAAAAAAAGTGTGTATTATTAATGTTAGCCTAAAAGTATTGTATAGCTTTGATTTCTTATCTAAGCTCAAAAGCTTTCAGAAATAACACTTCAAAGTATAAGGCAACTTGATATTACCCGTATACATTCGCCTAACAAAAATATTCCTACCGATCGAATGTTTTTTTGCATCAAAAAATAACAAGGGGTCATTATTCTACGGGGTCATTTTTCTACAATGCACACGGAGAAAAACGACCCCAAGGCCATAATTTCTACAGAAAAGGGGGTCGTTTTTCTACGTAGAATATTGACCAGGGGGTCAATTTTCTACGAAGAAAAATGACCCCCGGTCAATATTCTACGGGGGTTACTTTTCGTCGTTACACCGTCACAATTGAACATAATAACGTCACAATTAAAATGACGCCAAATTGCGCTAAATTGTTTCGCTGATCTTGCTTACCTGGTAGCTCTATAGAATATGCATTGAAAGCTGGCATTTCTATTTTTTTTTAATATTTAGATTAATTAACAACTTTGGGACCTAAATAATTTTGAGGGATCATTTTTTAGGTACAGATTTATTAATTTTATCCTTTTTATTTCAATTTGTGAGTTTAAAAAAAACAAACGCTGCAACTAAAAGTAAACGATGTTAGTTTTTCTCTTTGAACATGTTGAAGTGTTTATACACACTCTTTTTATTGCAGACTTAAATATGCATAGATTATCTTCAGTTGAACCCCCGAAATAAATTTTTCTATATAAAAATCTAGTAAAAATCATTTACCCCCCCCACCCCACACACACACAAATTTTGAACAACCGTGTTAAGAGAAAAATAAAAATAAAGCCGAGAAAATAATATTTAATTTTTTTCTATATATTACATAATATTAGTAAAAATCTAAATTTTGTGTTTTTACATGCCCCCTTTTCATTGCAATAAAGGCTACCATCAATTTTCTTTTCATGTTTTATAAGAAGAATGAAAATTGCATGATATATGTGAAAAACAAAGAATTTCATCATGTATTTTTTTTTTTAATTTGTAAATTTCCCCCCAGTGCCCCCATTTCACTACAATAAAGGCAAGGTAACAAAATTTCATCCACACACACACACCCTTCGTAATTTTTAACCCCGTTAAATTTTCCTTGTGTTTGTAATGCCATGAATTTGCAACGAAAATTTTCAGAGTAAATTTGGATCTTGTTTTTCGGTGCGTCGATTTACCCAAAAGGACCCAAAAGAACCCAAAAGGAACCAAAAGAACCTGAAAGGACCCAAAAGGAATCCAAAAGGAAATTAAGAACGACCCAAAAGGACTGGAAATAAAGAGAATAATGGATATATAATAAAAATTTCCTAATGTAAGAATTATTTATTTTTTAGAAATACAGTATTGCAATCATTTGTTACATAACCCATTTTTTGCTTGATTGTGAATAAAGTGATCTTTCTATGAAAAAAAAATATCGAATAAAGTTTGCTGCACTGAATTTTGAATTTCTTCTCGGTGATTGACAAATCGGAGATAAATTTTGTGTTTTTACATGCCCCCTATAAATAGTTTTCTAGTGATTTTTATAATTTATAGAGAAAAAATGCTGAAAAACATTTTAAAGGCAGGTTTTGAAAAATAAACACACATGTACAGTTCAATTTTCTTTTCATGTTAATATATAAGTATATTCCAGTCACTTAATTATATGAAAATAAAAATTGAAATATTTTAACACAGGTTTGATATATGATCATTGAAAAACAAAGTCACAACACAATTTCATCATGTATTTTTTTTTTATATTTGTAAATTTCTTTGTTTTTTGAAGAGTTTTAACCACCACATTTGTCGGTTGGTATGTATGCATTGTGACAGTCTGATTTATAACAAAATCAGCAACATCAATCCTGGACCTGGTTTACATTGTCCAATTGGAACCCATTTCACTACAATAAAGGCAAGGTTACTTCAAACAAAATCTTCTGTTTCCTAATTTGTACACATTTACACATCATAAAACATTTCAAAAAAAGTATATTCCAAGAAACAAACCACATATGTGTGCTAAAAATTTTTATCATTCCATTATTTTTTAATTAAAATGTTTTAAGATAATTTTTAACTAGGAAACCCTAATGTGCCTCTGCATCTCTGCAGTGAAATCAGATTTTGCCATATCTTGTGTTTGTAATGCCATGAATTTGCAACAGCAAGATCCTCTAACATAATTTGTCGGTTGGTTTCCATGTTAAAAAGGACGGTAAATCAAAACACTCTTCTTGTGTTCTGTGAGGAGACTGGTGGAAAACAAAATGGTCATTTGTTGAGTAAAGAAAAAAATTAGCATGTTTGTAAACCAACGCCCCTTTATAAAGAATAATAGTATATTCCAAGAATTAGTATCTTGTACATTTATTTGTAAAAACCAAAAACCTCAAAACAAAGATAGCGAATGAAAGTGAATATGTCTAGTCCACCGAAAAAACGAAAGAGAACACCAAGTTTCAGAATTGAATTATCGGGAGATGAAAGTAAGAAAACCAGTGTTTTGGAAAATTTGCAAAAAAAAGGAATTAGAGGGCAAACTGAACAAACATGTTGGAAATCTAAAAGAACTTACATAAAAGTTCAGAAAAAGGATGTAAATCAAAAAGAAGAATCTTTGAGGAGACTGGTGGAAATTGCAGAAAAGGAATTGTTCAAGGAATTTAAAAAGGAAATGCTACAAAGAGGACAGTAATGTCAACCAAATTTCAATGCGAGGAAGAGGGGTGTAAGCATACGTTTCTGTGGTCATCATCTCCTTATTTGCCCAATAATGAATATTTGGTAAATAACCGTGTCAACCATTCTTTATTATGCAGCGGGATGCTTCCATCACACTACACTAGATTTGCCGAGGAGCAGGTATTGGAAAAATATCAAAACAGGATAGGCAAAAGTTTTTTAATCAATCTAAAAAACACAATGAAGACTCCATCTACACAGCAACTCTGGAGGAAGTGGCATCATATGAAGATCTCGAAAGTATAAATATAATGACTGATGCACGACATGGCTGGCGCAAAAATGCCAAAGATTCCAGTGTAGTGGCTATTGGGGACAATACGCACAAAGTTTTATCATGTCAACACATAACAAAATCTGATGATATATACATTTGAAAGATCAAAATGTAGCTGTAGGAATTCATACTCATGACAGGAATCTGTCGATTAATAAATATATCCGTGAGGAATGTGAGTCTACAAATCAAAATGACACCTGGCATGCAGTCAAATCAGTTAAGTCCTCTTTGAAAAAAGTATCTTCTGGGCCAGCATATCTTGAGGGAAAAACCTGGTCATCTCAACTTGATGTGTGTTCACTGGGCCATTAGAAACTGTGATGAAGATACCGCAAAACTTCAAGCACATCTATTGAACATAGTAGAACATTACAAGAACAATCACTCAAATTGTCATTCGTCCTCCAGGTGCAAAATGGATCCTAACTATGAAATATCTCGGAAAGTTATTTCTAACCCGTGTGCCGAGAAGTTGTTGCTAGGAGTCGTAAAAAATTCTATTGTTTATAAGCATCCACAGGATTACATTTTATGTCATGATACATTTTATGTTGAAAGCTTCAACAATGTCATGAATGTTTACCAGGACAAAAGAATATCATTTTCTGACGACATGTACAGAGCAAGATCCAATTTGGCCGTATGTCATTGGAATGAAAACGTGGACAGAGATTATACATCTGTTTGGAGACCAAACCACCGAATGCCAAGAAGTGCTAAGGGTAAAAAGAACTACAAAAAATTAACTTTCTCATTTAGGAAAAATATTTGGACACGATATGTGAAGAGTGTCTTCAAAGCTAAAAGAAGAAACTGATGTTATTGATTTTATTTGAAGGAGACATGTGTAAATATCCCAAATTGTAAGAACTTTAAATCAAACTCCATTATTTACATGTAATTAGTTTGAAACTTTTGTCCTGATTATCTGCAAAATCTTAACTGTTTATACACTGCATTTATGTGTTAATAAGTAAATGTTGTATACTTAATTAAACTTGAATAATTAGAGATTTGCAGTACACGCAGATTTTACTTCTTTATTTATATTTACACACAAAATGAAATGGAATTCCCACTGTTGGTTATTTGTAAACAAAGCTGACTCAGCTCAGTGCAGTTCTTATCAGCAGCACTGACAGTGATGGAGATAAGCACCGCCTATTTTACCAGGTGGCAAAAAATCTAGGTCGCCCCCGGCCTTTAAATAAAACTTATTTCTTCATTTATCAAATATCATATAGTAAGATATGGTAAAATAGAAGAAGAAATAGGATAGTGTACTTTGTTAATTTCAGCTAAAAGAAATCAAAGCATATCTGATCCAGGGATAGGGTCGATTACTTTCAGAAGTAATCGATTAAATTACAATTACTTTGGATTTCAAAAGTAATCGATTACAAGCTGATTACAGACGTTTTTTAAAGTAATCGATTACATCTGATTACTTTTCCTTCATGTAATCATGATTACTTATGATTACTTAGATTACACTAAGGTTTTTTTGTTTAATGTTCAAGGACAACAGCTTTTCCCCTTCTTTTTTAAATATCATTTATATTTTTAAGTTAGAATCAAGACAAAGTTTGGTGGTACATGTTTTTTTTTTTTTTTTTTTTTTTTTGATTT